TCCTTCTCCCCTTTTGCACCCAACCAACTCATCCTCCCATCCTTTCTGGACATGGCATCCCCTACTTTTCCAGGTGAGGGCTTTTCCTTGCATTTCTCCCTGTCGAAATACCCCTCTTGGAGCCAACAGTGTCGGACGCCGACTCTGGAGACTTTCCATCTCAGCCGTAGAAGTCCTCCGGATGACCTTGGGCAAGTCTCACTCTCTCAGCCTCCGGAGAAGGCAAGGGCAAAAGCTCCTCAACAAATCAAGCCAAGAAAACCCCATGATAGGCTTGCAAGGAAAGGACTCGAAGGCACACAACGCACACATGGGACCTTATCCCACAGGGCCAAAAGCAGCAAGAATCCACTAAGAATCAGGTGCTATAGCGCTATAGTTTTCCGGGTGATCACACGACGTCGCTCAGAATCCGCTAAGAATCAGGCGCTATAGCGCTATAGTTTTCCGTGTGATTACACGACGTCGCTCAGAATCCAGCAAGAAACTGCTTGGAATGCAACATCAATCGCATTCTTTTGAATGTCGGTTTCAGCGGGCATTGCAATAGCGCGAGCTGATCCATAGCGCTATTATAGCGCTAGCGCCATATTTATACTAGCGCTATAGTACTGGAATGATGCTCATATCGCTTTCTTGCCACTTTTGAGAGCAGCGTGGGATAAGGTCCATGCACACACACACAGAGGCTCCCTCTGCTTGGTGAGCATCGCTTGCAGCTTAAAAATAAAATGTGCAACTTTCTCTCTTTCCCCCCCCTTTCTCTCTCTCTCTCTCTTGCTTTCTCATCTGTCCTCTCTTCCCTGCTCTCCAATCTTCTTGGGATGATTATGGGTTGATCCAGCCACTCTTCCTCCTTCTCTTTCTCTGGGTTTTTTTTCTCATTCCCCTCCTCCTTTCTCCCTGTCTTCCTCTCCTCCCTCTCAGTTGGACACCAGATGGAATTTGTTTGATCTCTCAGCAAAGGGAGAAATTGGCTGGACCGTTTTGCAAGCAAGAGAGAAGGGGAGGAAAGGAAAAAAAGGATGCCAGAGCCTTGGATAGATACATCATCGCCCTTTGGGTGAGTGCTTTCCACCGCCTGCCGCATGCATTCAGCACCCACCGTTTCTAGGCCTGCCACCCTCTTTTCCTTCTCCTTCAACCCTCTTTCTTCCCTTTCTTTCCTTGCATTTCTTCAACCCATGCAGGTTTGCATTTTGGACGCTTCCAACCCCATCCCCCTCTTGCCAGAGAAGCCAGAGCAGGAGGAACCTTTATTTCTTTGCAATTTTTCCACCTTTGTAGGCTTGCATTTTGGATGCGTCCAACCCATCCCCCTGTTGCGAGAGAACCCAGAGCAGGAGCGACCTTTATTGCCTTGCAATTTCTTCAACCCATAGGGCTTTGCATTTTGGATATGTCCAACCCATCCCCCTGGTGCAGGCGGAAAGGGAGGAGGATTGGATCATGGAAATCCTTGCTTTTTGAAAACCAAAATAAGCCCCGCCGGGTTAACGTTGCATCTGTTCCTCCTTTGTAAAGGGGTTGCAATATACAGTATTTGCTTGCATGGCTCTGTGTGTGTGTGTGTTCATGGGCTCTCAATCCAGCCATTGCAGTGTGCACAAAAGGGGCCAGATTGGAAAGAGACAGTTGGGAGTCTGAGGCCTGAAGGTCTCCAAAGGGAAAGAGGAGGATCACATTCCACACCCATTCAACGCCTGGTGTTTCTGGCTTTTCCTTTGTCTGTACAGGGCAGAGATTGCCCATCGGAGACATCCTGGGCAAAATGTGGCCACATGCAACCTGGAGACCAGGGTTCGATAGCTCACTCAGCCATGGAAAGTCACTGGGAGACCTTGGGCAAGTCACACTCTCTCAGACTCAGAGGATGGCAAGGGCAAACCTCCTCTGAACCAATCTTGGCAAGACAACCCCAGGATAGCAATGGAAAACCTTAGGGTCCCCATAAGTTGGAAACAACTGGAAGGCATACAGCAACAAACAATTCATGGA